AGACTGAAACTCAAATCATACCTAAGGTCGCCCCAAGGATGCTGTGATTTCGACTGCTGACTGACTACCTGCGGCCCAACCCAGCAGCCTGGTCAGTTTCCTTGGCCCAGACCGCGGAGCTTCCCAGGCCCACTTATCGTCCTTTTCCCAACAGGCCTTATGGCAGAGTCTGCCAGAGTCTCCCAAGACAGGAAAGAGCTGAAACCATTACCAATAAAATTGTGAAGTTTTCCAAAACACTGTTCATCATATATTTCTCTGGTAAGTGTTTGAGCTTGTGGATGAAGTTGATCATATATTCACACATTGGGGAGCGGTTTATCCGGTATACAAATCGGCCATTCTCAAACCTTGCATACTCCGTCTGTGAAGGAAACAAGATTTGAGCATTTTTGTACTTCAAAATGCATGAAACAGATATTGCTGCTTGCAAAAGCATGTTTTTAAGTATTAACCATCTGCTATATGCTCTGGTAGCATAGTGGCTAAGACACTTGCCTGCTAACCATACGGCTGGCGGTTCAAACCCACCAGCCACTCCTCGGAAGGAAGGTTGGGCAATCCTACTTCCATAGTGATACTGCCTCGGAAACCCAAGGAGGGGTCGCTATGAGTCAGGTATGACTTGACGGCACATAACAACAACAACAACAAGATATGCTGTACTAGGAGCTCTGGCAGCATAGTGCCTAAGGCACTTGACTGCTCACCAGAAGGCTGGCGGTTCAAACCCACCAGCCACTCCTCGGAAGGAAGGTTGGGCAATCCTACTTCTGTAGTGATACTGCCTTGGAAACCCAAGGAGGGGTCGCTATGAGTCGGGGCTGACTCGACGGCAAACAACAACAACAAAATATGCTGTACTACTTCTGTGTTTCCTTAAAGAATAGCCTATCTCTAATACACAGAATGCATGACTTTTTCTGGGAATTCAAAAAAAGAGATGATAGCTTCAAAGGAGATTCTATAGATTATCTGCAGCAAAGGTCAGAAAAAAATATAACCACCTACTTAGTGACTCTCTCCTTGGGGAAGATTTGTGAGAGTACACCCCAGCGAGTTTCTATTTTTCAGAAAGCCCAAAGAAAATCCCTCTTTAACGTAATAAGGTCTCCCAGACTAACAACCAATACAGCTCTACTCTAAGGAACAATGGCTACTTCATACTGAACATGAGCCTCTTATTGTCAGCTATTAAGAAAACAAAACAAAACAAAAAAAACCTACTGCCATCACATTGGTTGCAACTCATAGCGACCCCTTAAGGACAGACTAGAACTGCCCTATAGGATCTCCAAGGCTGTAAATGTTTACAAAAGCAGAATGGTACATCTTTCTCCCATGAAGCAGTTGGTGGGTTTGAACTTCAGACCTTTTGATTAGCAGCCTAGTGCTTTAACCACTGCACCACCAGGGCTCCTCAACTGTCAGCTATAGATGTCTTTAATTTTTTAAAAAACATAAAAACATTTGTATAAGCAGTTTGAAGATCCCACTGAAACACTTAGAAATAAACATAGTTGCATGTAACCTGCATCAGAGGAATGATAAAGGATATTACTAAGTAGCTATTAAACAATGAAAAGGAAAATAACTTATATCAAACCTTTTGGCACACAATAAAGCTATATTTGGAGGAGACTTAATGAGGCAGCTTCGTATGTCTTCATCATTAAAGATGAAAAATTACAGAACTAAATATACATCTTAAAAAATATAAAATTTTAAAAAGCTGACAAAATAAGCCAATACCCAAGGAAATTAGAAAGATAAGGATAAAAGTTTAAATTAACGAATAGAAAATAAAAATGTAGACAGAATAAATTAAAAAGCTGTGTCACCAAAAAGACAATATAAACAAACCCTCCATAAACTTAAGAAGAAGAAAAACCATATATTTTTTAAAGGACAAGAATAAAACAGGGTAAAAGACAAAACCATAATGACAGAGAGATTAGAAGATTTACAAGGTTACTTCACACAACTCTAAGGAAAGAAAAAATGGAAAACCTAGGCGATATGCTCTCCCAGCAAAAAACAAATTCCAGCAACATTAGAACAAGTAGGAGGAGGAAGCTCCAACAGATTTAACTGCCTTGAAAGTGACTAGAAAGCCTTTTAGAGATCTACCACTGAAAAAGGTAGATCGAACGGTATTGTTGCTAAGTAATGTTTTAACCTTTAAAGAATGATACTTTCAAAGTTATTTAACCATGCTAGACACAGAGAAAGGTGAACTTCAAAATTCTTTTTATGAATGCAATACACATTTAATACCAACAGTTGATAGAGTATTAAAAAAAAAAAAAGGAAAAGGAAAAATACTGCTGTATTGGTTGTTACAAGATGCAAAAACTCTATATAAAATATCAGCAAGTAGAATCCATCTATGTATCCAAAGTGGGACTTACTTCAGGAACGCTGTGGTGGTTCAGACTTAGGAACTGCATTAATCCAATTCATTGTATCAATAAATTGGAGGAGAAAAATTACATACCGGATTTGGTGAAAAGAAATTTTACAGCTATTACTAATAAAAACTCTAAGTATAACAGAAATAGAAAGCACTTTAATATACAGGCAGTCCCTGGTTCCCAATGAGATCTGTTCCTAAGTGTGATGTTAAGTTGCATCTGTAAGGAAGCTGGAATAGGTGCCTATGGTTTTTATTTAGCCTCTTAGTACCTAAAAGGCTTGAACTCTTTTCAATGATGTAGCTGCACATGCAGCAAGTGCAGGTGACTGTGATGAAGAATTCCTTGGTGGTAGGCAGGGGTTGGTTCAATCATCTCAAAGTGAGGGCCAATTTACATAACGTTAAAGGGCAAGTTAGGGTTGTCTGTAAGTCAGACATTCGTAATTCCAGGGACTTCCTGTATAATAAAACTATTTATAAAAAAACAAAAATAAATATAATCCTAAATGGCAAAAATTAAAACCATTTCTATTCAAACAGCAACTATACGATGATACCTACCATTCTTACTTCTATTTACAACTGTGTTGAAGGTTTAAGCTGACGAGAAAATAATAAAAGACTGGGATAAACACTGGGAAAAACAAGATAAAATAAAGACTTCTCTTTACGTTGCTGATGTGATTATGCAAAGAAAGCCCAAGACTTCAGGAAAAAAAACATTACCATTACAAAGAGAAACTGGTAAGATGGACAGATAGGACATACATATATAAAAACTTTACTCTAGCAACTAGAATCTAGAAATGAGGAGCCACAACAAATTATGGGTGCAGTGCCTAAGGCATCTGACTGCTAACCAGAAGGCTGGCGGTTCAAACCCACCAGCTACTCCTCGGAAGGAAGATGGATAATCTACTTCTGTAGAGATTGTTGTTGTTGTTATGTGCCGTCGAGTCAGCCCTGACTCATAGCGACCCCTCCTTGGGTTTCCGAGGCAGTATCACTACGGAAGTAGGATTGTTCAACCTTCCTTCCGAGGAGTGGCTGGTGGGTTTGAACTACCAGCCTTCTGGTGAGCAGGCAAATGTCTTAGCCACTATGCTACCAGAGCTGTAGAGATACTGCCTCGGAAACCCAAGGAGGGGTTGCCATGAGTCGAATCTACTCAATGGCAGTGAGTTTGTTTTTGGTTATGAATATGTTTAATAAAAAAGGGAGGAGCTCTGGTAACATAGTGCCTCAGGTACTTGACTGCTAACCAGAAGGCTGGCGGCTGAAACCTACTAACCACTCCTCTGAAGGAAGGTTGGGCAATCTACTTCCGTAGTGATACCGGCTTGGAAACCCAAGGAGGGGTCGCTATGTGTTGGGTCCAACTTGACGGCACATAATAATGACAACAACAATAAAAAAGGGATACAGCTATATGAAAAACACATAATCTTTTTAAAAGACATAAAATAAGATGGAAATTCAAAAATATTCTTGGTTGAGAAGATTAACAACAAATATGTATCAATTTCTCCAAAATTAATATCTCAATTTAATGCAATTACAATTAGATTGCCCAAACAATGGTTTTTGTTCTTTTTTTGGGGGGGAGAACATTTTATAAATGATCTCATTATTTAGAATAATAATACTGGTTACTGGCTTAGAAAAAAATATGAAATGGAAGACTAATGAGGTTGACTTACTTTAACAGATATCAGAATATACTATAATGTAATCCAATCAATATAGCATTGGAATACATAGAGACAAACAGAGAATGGAATAGAACAGAGAGAAATCAGGAACAACCCCAGTATATATGGTAACTTAAAGGGTCAGATCAGTTTAGGAGGGAAAGGCTGAAGCATTTAATAAATGGTTTTGACACACACCGTTATCTATGTGGAAGAGAACATAAGCAGGCTCTCATTTTATACTAAATACAAAAATCCATTCAAGATGAATTAAAGACTTAAATGTGAACCTCTGCCTGCCAAAATCACACCACGTCCTCCACGAACACTCCTGGGATCTCACCCATCAGAATCAACCTTCCTCTGCTCTCTGAACTTGTACAGGGCTTTGGCTATACAGGCAGTCCCAGGGTTACAGACAGATCCTACTTGCCCTTAATGTTAGGTAAATTTGTCCTCACTTTGAAGCAGCATCCAAAACCCTCACTATACAGTGCAAGGTCTTAAGAAAAAGAAAGAAAAGGAAAAATCACCCCCACCCACCCCCTGCACCACATCCTCTCTCACTCCTCTGCACCATGTTTTTGGCATAGTCAGGCAACTCAAGTAATCCAGGATTACTTCAAAAAGTTACTCACTGAGTATGGATCAACTGAGTGATAAACAGAAGACACTATAAGATCCAACTTGAAATGGAATGCCAACTCCAAACATCATTTACACAGAGCAAATTATTCAGATAAAAATAAGTATTTTTTTGAAAAAGAGAATAGGTATGAAATATAAAAGTTGTAAGGAGGTATTTAAGGAGCTCTGGTAGTGTAGTGGTTAAGGTTTTTAGTCGCTAACCAAAAGGTCGGTGGTTCAAACCCACTAGCCACTCCACAGAAGGAAGATGAGGCAGTCTACTTCCATAAAGATTCACAGCCTTGGAAACCGAATGGGGGTCACCACGAGTCAGAATTGACTCGATGGCAGTGAGCTTAGCTTGGTTTTGGAAGTAAGGATTAATCCCAATATATAATGAGAAACAAAAAAACCAACCTACTGCCATCAAGTTGTTTCTGACTCACAGTGACCCCCACTGGGTTTCTGAGGTGGTAAATCTTTACAGAAGTAGAGTGTCCAGTCTCGTTTCCCTGAATATATAATGAGACATGTTTTAAACAAGGACTAAGCAGAATGGCAAAAGCAACATTGTTGTTGTTGTTGTTATGTGCCGTCAACATTATCAAACTCCAAGTGTCAGGGTTTCAGAAGGTAGGTACCAATGAGCTGAATGCTATCCTGCTTGTTGTCTAAAATGCCTGGAGTCCCCTTGGACCTGAGGATGGGCTGAGAAGGGCATCACTAGACCCCTACTTCTGACAGATGGCAGGTCCTATCTGTAAGCCCCCAGGCCTCCACACCTGGGCACCCCCATGAAGCTTCAAGCTGAGGCGAGCACTGCCGCGCGAACAGGGCAGAACTTGAAATGGAATCAGAGAAAGTTGGCACAGAGTGTCTTGCTTGCCTTCTATCAGGTACTTTCAAATCATTCAGTCTTTTTTTTTTTTTTTTTTAAAGAAGTAACAGGGAGAGAGAGGGGAAAGGGGAAGGAAAGAAGAGACATCAGGAAAGTCAGAGTCTGCATCCCAATAAGGCTTAAAAGGCAACAGTGTGCCTTGAACAAAGGTTTCCTTTCAGTACACACTTACCTCTACTTTTTCTACTACTTGCTTCCCAAAGGAGCAAACTTTGGTGGAGCAGGTAACGGTCATATTTTCAGAACTCTCATACTGACTGGTTACACCATAGAAAGCCCCAGCATCATCTTGAATATTGCAGTTTAAATCTGCCTGTTGGAAAGAAAATGGAGGTGGGGATTACTCTCATCTCAGGAGTCATGGCAACAAGCATTTGGAGTTCAGTGGAGGGCAGGGGCAGCTCTGGGAGGTGGGGAGGCCACGCTTATCTAGGAGAAAATCCTCCATGGGTCAAACTGGGAAGTGGGTGTTGATTTGGGCAGTCTTCCCTTGCAATGACATGTCACATACATCTATTTCACTTCACTTTCATGCACTGGCTATCAGAATGCTGTACTTTTGCAATAAAAGATCCATGAGATCTCTGAAAGATAAGAGCATATGAATCAGTCTCTCCAAAAATCTCTACTGTAGAGAGTTTTTAAAGAGCAGGAGGATCTGCAGCTGGGCATTTGTTACAAACATGGAAACAGAAACTTTATTACAGCATTTGGAGTAGAAACAGTTCCTATTAAAAACTGGCTTACAAAGTGCTCAATAATTAATGCAGACCGTCATTCATTTAACACATTTTGAATTATCTACTACGCATTGTAGGAGACTTACCTGCAACCAACATATGTGACACATAAGTAACTATAGTTTATTATACAGCACATAAGAGTCAAGTCAAAGGTGCTCAGAGTTTAGACAATGGGAGTCATTACTTTCAACTAGAGGCATTATTTAAGAGGATGTTGACAAAGAGGCATTTGCATGGGGACTGGTAAGATTTGGCCATGCAGAGAAGGGCTGAGGGGCCAGTGTGGGCAGAAGCTGAAGGGGCTTCATCCGATCTACTATGAAAGGACTAAGGAAAACCAGTTGCCCTGAGTCAACTCCAGCTTGCAGTGACCACATGCACGTCAGAGTAGAGCTGTGCTCCCCAGGGTTCTCAATGGCTGACTGTTTGAAGCGGACTGCCAGGCCGTTTCTCCGAGGAGCCTCTGGCTGGACTAACACCTCCAAACTGGGAGTTAGCAGCAGAGCATGTAACTATGCGCACCGCTCAGGGGCTCCACGGACTAAGCAGACCAGGGGAAAGGAGTACGGAAATAAAATGTGGGCCCAGATCCAAGAGTGCTAAATCAGGAGTGTGTACTGTGCCTGGAGGAAACAGGGACCCCTTGAAAGTTCTGAGTGACGCAGTGATGTGGTCAGTGGCGTGCTTCAGTGAGAGCTCTCTAGGCATGGCGTAACACGCATCGATGAGGGAGCCTGGGAGGCCGCTGTGGGTCTGGGTTGCTGACTGACAGCTCCCTTCTTTCAACTATCTGAGCCCTGCTATATACCAGGCACTATGTCTGGAGCCAGGGACACAACAGTGGGCAAAAGCTAAGCCGGTCCTTGCTCTGATGGGGCTTATGCTCTAGTAGGGAAGACACTATGACAGAGAGAAGCACCTCCAGAGAAGTACTTAAACATGAGCGGTGAGTGGGACCCCAAGGATCCAGGACTTCCAAGACGCAGCTCAATTCAAGGCAAGGAGATTGCTTAGGCAGGCGGGGCACTCCCTCAGAGGACAGAGTGTGAAAAGGGTGCACACCACAAAATAGGACTAGAACAGGGAAAGTAAGGGAGAGAGCATGGCAGCATGGCTCAGGGGAGGGAAGATTTTGGTCTTATATCCTAAGAGCTATGGGACTCAGGAATTCTGAGCAGAGATGGGGTGGGGGCAGTGAGAGGGTGTGATAAGATCTGCATCCCAAAAAAGGCACCTGTGACTACCACCTGGAGAGGATTCTGGGAGAGCAAGAATGAATGAAGGAGAGACATGCCAAGAAACCAAACACATGACCGTTGAGACGGTTCGATCCAGCTCACAGCACCTAAGCAGCAGAGAGCAGAACCACCCAGTGAGGTTTTCCAAGTCTGAAAATAGTTCTGGAAGCAGACTGTCCCATCTTTCTCCCATGGAATAGCTAGTGGGTTCAAACCACCAACCTTCTGGTTAGCAGTGGAGTGATTTAACAAGGGTACTGTAACAGTCCCACAAGATTTAAACTATTGTGGTGGCTACTAACAGAAGGAGATGAATTTGAGACTCAAATGAAACTTCAGATTTTGTGAGGGTTGGAACATTCTGACCAGATAATTTTAATACACTGGCCAGCACTAACCACCGTGAGAATTCAGCATAAATTCTTTAAAAAATGACCTGAGTCATCCTCCATATATTTTTAATAAGGATCTGCACTTGAATTTCCTTCTTGAATTGAGCACCAGGAAAATGTCTATGTCCTGAGGCAAAACTGGATTCCAATAAAGAGAACCTTATACTCTCTGCATTCCCCTTTTCACCTAATGTGCCAAGAAATTCAAAGTTCAGTTCAGTGCTCAACTGTGGTCATAAACTCATTCCAGGTGTTTCTAATAGCCATTAACAGCCAGTGTATAGCTCTTTTGACTTGTTTCCAATCTGCTTTTACATGTACTTGTCCATAAATTTTGTAAGCTTCCTCACATTTTGCTTTTTGGAATTATATGGGGCATAAACTCTAAATAAATAAATACACCCGGGTGTGCATTTTTCTCAGGTTCAAAGGGTCTAACGTTTGGCTCCATAAAAGTACAGCTTAGGTGGTAAAGGATACATGCCTTCCCGAACTAAGATCTGCATTGGAGCTACTCAAGGCCATGAGTGGCTGGGTCTACTGGAGCTCCAGTTTCCAGGGCAGAAAGGCTCCCCAGCACTGCCTGTCACTCCCAGGCATGCAAGGTGCTCTCGACACTAGAATTACCACCACGCCCCAGAAAGCACCGTGCCCCAGAGCTTCTCATGGCATGCACTGAAGGTGGGGCTTCAAAAACTGCCACTGCCTCACTGTTCTGCTATCATCTTGGAATACATTGCTCAGAAATGCATCTTAGGTATTTTGTAGTAATGAATTATCAGTGACATTCTTCTTTTCTGTGGCATTTAGTCTTGCAATTATAAAGCTGTGCCAAATATATAAATTACAAATTTGTGCACCTTTTGAAAAGTAAAAACATGCACATAGTTATAAAAGAGAGGAAAAAAAAAACCCCAAGAAACGGAAAAATAGTGTGCAGGGGCAGTTCTGCTCTGTCCTTCAGGGTCATCCTCCTCAGAATTGACTCAACAGCCACGAGTGTATGCACAAAGTGCTTTAAAGGGTATAATCTTGGGGGTTTAATCCTCACTACAGCAGTTGTACTTTCATCTTACTGAAGAATAAACTCAAGGTGAAAAAAATTCTCTACAGTCACATTGGTAAGTGGAAAACAACATTAGTCTGTTTGGATTACTCCATTATTTTTAACTCATTTAGTAAAGAGCTCTAAAGGTTTTATTTTGGGGTTGTTGTGTCTTTGTTTATTGATATTCTTTACACGTGCAGCTGTTTTACGAGAGGGGTGTGGAGTAAAGACACCTTTACTCACTATGTTTGGTTATAAATAAAGGGTGCGATTTCCCTTTGATTATTACCTGCAGCTCCTGCCATTCCAGATGTGGTATAGCTCAGTAGTTAAAAACTCAAGGGTTCTAGAGCCAGATTACCTTAGCTCAAATTCCAATTCTGTTGTCTTTGTAACTTAGGATCTTTACTTAGTACCTGTATGTCTCAATTTCTCTATCTGAAAAGTGGAGATCATGTTTTTTGCCATGTTTTGAGGACTAAATATGTTAAAACAAATTATGTGCTTAGAACACCATAAGTCAAATGTTATGTTTTTTTTTAAAAAGTATAGTTTTCTTTTTCCCATGAGCTAGTCAACCTTTCGAGAGGTAATAAGTGTGACCTGTTTCTTGTGTCCTTTTAGAAACCAGTCTAGTATATTCAAATATATTCTTTTTTTTTGCATAAATAATTGCGTATTTGCATTCATTTTTCGCACTTTTGCTTTTATTTTTAAATAAATAACTATACGCACTTGAGAGAGTACTGATAAGAGATATCAGTAATAAAAAGTACTGATATGGGACAGCAGTATATAAAAAAATGAACAGGCATTCCTTTGAGTGGTTGTACACTATCCCACTGTTCAGCTGCACCATTAATTATTTTAAAACAATTTTTCTTGTTGTTGTTGAGAATATACACAGAACACACACCCATCCCACATTCTACATGTACAATTCAGTGACTTTAATTGCCTTCTTTAAGTTGTACAACATTCTCACCCTCCTTTTCCGAACTCTTCCTTCCCCACTAACATAAACGCAAAGTCCCTTTAGTTTCCTATTTAATCTTTCAAGCTCACATGCACCATAATCTAATATATTCCCCACTGAGGATTGTTCAAGCTGCTTTCTAACAATGCTGTAATCATGAGCTTTTGTGGAGCAGGACTTTTCCTGTGCATTAGAAACTTTTTTTTTTTTTTTGCTAACTTTGAAAAATGAGTACAAATGTACGATGAATAACATGTTACTTAATAGTGATTGTATAATTTAAACAAATCAGTTATTTTTTATATATTCATATGGTATAAGGATGGGATGTGGGAGGGAGGAGGAGATTAGCAACAGGTGACGAGTCAGTGGGAGAGCCACTTAAGGTGTTTTCTAACAATTTCAAACCTACTTAAGTGATGTAACACAGAGAGGCTTCTTAATAGTTACACCTCAACTCCCTAGTCACAGTGTTTACTTTCATCTTTTAATGTTTTATTTTTTTTTACTTTATTTATGTAAATGACATTATTTTTAAGCCTAAAATTTAAACTGTACACACACTTGAATACTTAAAAATCGATAGTAAACACAAATACACAAAATAATCTGCCAACATATTATTGTTGTTAGGTGCTGTTGAGTCATCTCAGACTTGTAGCAACCTTATGCACAATACAACAAAACACAGTCTGGTCCTGTGCCAGCCTCATGATCCTTGCGATACCTGAGCCCATCATTGCAGCCACTGTGTCAATACATCTCACTGAGAGCCTTTCCCTTCTTTGTCTTTGTCTGTAGTCTTCAATTTTCATCAGTAAATGTACTCACTTTCAGCAAGCAAAGGTGTATCATCTGCGTGTTGTGGTTTGTTAATGAGCCTTCCTCCAATCCTGATGCCACATTCTTCTTCATA